GTTTTGTGATAGTTTGAAAGAAAATGGCCCCATAGGCTCATAAAGACTGATACTGTTGGGAGGTCTGGCCTTTTGTGGTTAAGTGGTCACTGGTAGTGGGCTTTGAGGTCTCAGGATCTCAAGCCAAATGAAGTGTCTCAATCTTATCTCCCTGCTGCCTGCTGATCTGTATGTAGAACTCTCAGCTACTTTCCCAGCCACATGTCTGACTGCATGCTGCCATGCTTCCCTCCATGATGATAATGGACTAAACCTCTGAGCTGTAAGCCAGCCCCAAATAAACGTTTTCCTTTATAAGAGTTGCCGTGGTGAAAGTATCTCTTCACAACATTAAAAACCCTGACTAAGACAGGTGTAAGACTCTAAAACAAAATTACTAAATATAGAACTGTCATTTGTTGGTCAATTAAAATGTCTGTAGTTTTTACAATAATTATCAAATTGTACTACATATATTCTAAAATCATATATACATGCAATAATATAAATTCATACTTATGTGATTATAGTAAAGACATCTTAACATAAATAAAGAAGTCTGGTTCTGTGTATATTCCCCTTCTCAGTGTCCTTGTACCTTTCAGGACGGAACTCCTCAGGATCTGGCCAGATTAATGAGTGGATTTACCATTGATAAGTGCTCTTGAACACAGTCCAAGGTGTTGACATACTAAAAGTCCACTGAAATACATGGTGAAGTGAACATGGAAGGACATTTACATAAGCTTACATTTAGGTTCAAAATCTTCAGTTTTTCTTTGTACTGTTTTCCTTCAGTAATAATGAACAGCATATTATGTCCATCTCATTTAACATAAATTAGCTGTTGAGGGTGTCAAAACTTAATATAAGTAGACCACTCATCCAGACTGAAAAAATATAATGTGGGGAACATTAAGTTCCTTCTTAAAACTCCATAGCAATCCTTTCAGAGTACAACTCACAGTTTAAATCCTATGTCTAAATTTAATAATACTATAGATGTTCAATTTGAAGATGAATGTCCTATTCAACAAGAATAGTATATGAAATTTCAGTGACTAACCTCAGTAGGATCTTTTCCATTTGAAACACATTATGGTTAAATAGCCTAAAAATTGAGACTAATTGAGCAAACAATTTCTATTCTAGTGAGAGGTCCATTCAATCCATGCTCAGTTTCTAAAAGAATATTTCCCTTGTTACTTCATATGTTGTTCTTATAAATCTTTAACTTTCAACATCCCACATGCTAGAGTCACTTGGGAAAGAGGTCTAAATTGAAAGACTAGGGGTTACTAGATTAGATTGTTTTGTGAATGTGTCTAGGAGAGTTTTTGTCCTGACTACTCATT